TCTAACACCTGATACAACCAATTATCGTCATCATTCATCCTATTTTTCACTTTTAAAAGGTAAACTGCTCTTTCAGCTCCCAACAACGCTTCACTGGTTCTATGGACAATTCTCCTGTTGATGCCCGTAAACAAAACATGCACATTGTTGAAGAATCCACATACCTTTTGCACTCCTTGAGACCGAGGGTAGCGCTCATAGAACTGATCCCCTACTTCCTATGCTGATTACCCATGCTCTGTCGCCGCTGGTGAAATGGGGCCCATATCCTTACCTGCTGATCCCAGCTGGCTGTGGCTAGGGCAGTCCCGTCGGGGCACATGGCGACTGCACTAACCTGTCCATCATGGACTAGGTCGAACAGCAGTTTACCTGTCAGTGTGTCGTATGCTCTACATTTATGGTTTGAATATCCTGAAAACAGAATGCGTCCCGAATGCGAGAATGCAATTGACGTAACAATGTGCAAAGGTCTTCGTCTCCGATTGCTGCTCCCACCAACATCGTCATCTCCATATCGAACAAGCTCATGTGCAGAGCGCCGATCAAACAGCGCACACGTTCCGTCATCAGATCCCGTACCAAAGGTAAGCCCATCCGCATGGAATTGCACAGCGTTGACATCTTGCGAGTGTGCATGGAAGGTAATCTGCAGCCACCACAAATTTTCACCACAAGGTCCAGCAAAATAAAAAAATAAAAAAAGCTCAAAACATTACAAGAACCGTCCGAGGAGAGAACAATGGAACAATAGTGGAGCAAACAGACTAGCATTTTCACAAACTCTTCTGTGTTTCAATCTTTGTTTATTTCATCTTTCCCCCCTTTCTTAAGTCGATGCAAGAGCGTAATTTAATGTCTGCTGGCGAAGGTGAAGGTATAAAAATTTGTCTTGAGACTCCAGAGTCAAATCAGGCAACCTGTGCCCCTACGTGAGGCAGCTGACGCTTGGAAAATCAAGAGTCAGGCCCAACTGGGGAAAAGCAGACCAAGAGTGAAAGATTTCTGAGCAGTCGACCATGGCCATAGATCAGAGGCACAATCAAAGGCTGTCTGCACTTTTTCCGAAAGATTCAAGGGTTCACGGGGAGCAGACACATTGAGGCCGACAGCCAATCTGGGCCGTTCAGATCAAGAAATTCTGGGCCGCTGGAAGAGGCAAGCCAAGGCCGGTCAGCACTATTAAACTAGTGGCCAGCCCTTGGGCTCATTCATTCTGCCTTGCATGTGCTGCTGGCTCGAGTGCTGTCGGGCA